GATCAATAATAATAATGATCAACCAAATATAAAATATTTTAAACTAATGTATGTAGATAATGTATATAAAAAAATGTTTTAAAAAATAAAAATGGAGTTAGAGATTTAATGTAGTATTAGTATTGTACCTGATCAACATAATAAAATACAAAAAAACTAGCAATGAGTTGTGTATCTTTCCCAGCTTTTATGATATTTTATTTAAAAATTAACATTTGTATTATTAATCAAAATAAGTAACTAAAATTATATGTGGTGCCATCTGTTATGAGATATTGTTATGAAAGCTTTGTATATTCAATTATTATAAAATAGCAAAATACTTAATTTTGAGGGTAGAGACGAATTTTATAAAATGCTGTAAATGCTAACAACAAGTAAAATATTCATTAACATTAATTGTTATTCCTCATGAGATATGACACATCACCACCCTCTATCTCTCCATCTCCTCAACCTTTTACAACCAAAATTTAATAGAATCAATGCCCTTATATACAAGCTACCATGCGAAATTTCATTTATCTTCTTAAGCAAAATAGAGACAGACACACATTCATTCATTTGTGGAATTTTTTTCTGTTTTTAATTTTTTGGGGTTCAGGGGGTTGCAAAACACGGAGATTTACAAAAAACTTGGAAGGTCAAATTTGACATGATTCCCTTTACTATATTTGCCCAATACTTTCCCTTGTTACGTATAAATAACAGCCAGGAAAGTAACATATGTTATAATAATTCAAACAGCTCAAATACATCACACTGACCTTGTATAGCTTTGCAGTCAATCAGTTGACTGCAAATTTTAGAAACATAACACTAACGTTTTCGATCCACCCTAGGACCTTCTTCGAGTGTTCTATAAAAAATTTTTCTGATGCAATCTGAGTTCGATTTAGCTTCCAATTTTAAATGTTCCAAATGTTTCTATCTTTGAATTTATTTTTTTAAATTTTAAATTTTCAAAAGATGTGCACCTGCACTGACTATTAAAGCACCGGTCGTACATAGCCTACCATGCTCTCGAGAGTTGTTTTTTGTCTTTAAAATTGATTGACAGGCCTTTGCAGTCCGCTTTAAAAATTTCTAACATCTCCAGATTCGATAGTTGGTTTATATGCTGAGTTTGCCAGATCATTGTCGCTTGTTGTAATTCAGGTATAATGCTGTTTTTTCTGGCATATATAACTAAGGTGGGCTGTATATATATAACTAAGTGCTTTTCCTCTTTTTAACATCTGTTTTGTGTTCACGGAGGTGTTGTTTTAGCAATCTTTTTGTAGTTCTGATATATATGAAGTCTCTATCAAATCTGTTATCTCTTAGCAGAATTTTATATATTCCCGGTGTTCTTTCAATTTCAACCTGATCATTCTCATTCCTTAGCATGCTGAATGTATCTGGCTTACATCTCTAGGCTGTTTTTGTATAAGCCCCAATTTCTTGGTACAGGGACTGCATATGGCACTCATACGTTATAGTGATACAGTAGGGAAACTCATCTTGCTACGAACCGTTTTTCAGAGCTCTGTTCATTTGGTTTTTTTGCCTGTCTGCCATTCTATATATTAGACCCTTTTTATAGCCATGGTTTTCAACAATTTCTGCTATTCTTCTTATTTCCCTCCATTTGTCGTCCTTTGTTACAGTGTGTGCAGGCCCTTCTGGTAAGTGTTCTAAAGCCTGCCATTCTGTAGTTGTATGGATTGTTAGAGTTGGCTGGGATGTATATTGGGATGGCACTCAGTTTTCAGTATATCTTGGTGTTGTATCCACTACCATAATATAACAAAATATGCATTTTCAAAACATTGCAATCTAAATGGATGTGAAATGGAAAACAATTTGTTAAATTGATAAAATTTTAAAAATATATACAGTAATACCTCAACTTACACTACCCCGACTTACGCGAACCCCGAAGCTACGTGATTTTCGAATCTCGTTGATTCGTCTTTTGTTTGAGCGCCACGCAACTCTTGATTACTCACTCCCCCCATACTATTGTTTAGCTTATATGTTTGGACGTGTCATGCGGAATCGACACATAGCTACAATTTTTTTTATGTTATTTATTTCTGTGTTTGTTATATTTACAGAGACTTGAGAGACTCTCTGTGGTAATTTCTTGTAACCGTGAATGAATCAAAAGACGAGATAAGATTAACGAGAACATTTATTAGCTTACATACATCCGACATGGATTTTACACAAATTACGAAATTATACCCTGACTTACGCGAATTCGACTTACGTGGTTATCGCTCGGTCCCACCTATCGTGGGGTTTGGGGTATTACTGTATATATTATGAACATATTGAAATTTTAAAGGTTAAAAAAAAATAGGATTAATGCTAATTTAGGGTTAAAAATAGATGGTGGATGGTATGAATATATTAAATTAATAAAAATAAAAATAGATGTTGTAAAAAAGGAGTATAAATATGTAAATTAATGTACAATGATGATTGTTGCTACAGTTAATGATTGTAAATGTGTATAATAACTGATTAAATGTTTTTGTGTAATAATTTTGTGAATCCTCCAGATGTCTCAATGTGACTATCAATTGATTGACCTTTACTGCTTAATACTAAATGAAGTCTGCCATTAATTGTTGTTAATTATGTGTAGTATTATCCATGGCTGGATTGATTATAAAGAAAAATAGATTGAAAAGATGGAATCTGTTGTACAGTATATATAAGAAAACATCAATTTCTTTGTGATGTTTTCGTGGTTATTTAAACTTCTTTAATGTAATTTTTATGTATATTTTGTTTTATTATTTTTATCAAACCCCAACTGAAAATGAACTCCAAAAGAATTCAAATGCATTTTGGGTATGCCAGTATATATTTAAGATTAAATCATTGCAAATTGTTTTTCTATATTAATTGTAAAATTTTTATATAAAATAAATTAACTTTCATTTGTAATATATTTACTGGTGTAATAAGCCCTAAAATTTAAAGAACTGGTTAGGTTATCACAAAATTCCACATATTCTGTTTTAGTTACGGTTTCAACCCTGTTCCTCCTCTTTGTGGTAAAAAAAAAAGTCTCTGTCCCCTACCCCAAAAAAACACCATGTAAAAATTTGAATGACTCCTTTCAAGACAAAAACATAGTGAGGGAAAAACAATTTAGTAACACAAGCTACATTGATGATATATTTTTAATGTTTTTGAGTTACACTTTTTCCCATATTGGTTCCATTGTGTCTTTGATTCACACTGCACTGTTCCATTTTTACTATTCCTCTTCCTCTCACTCCTCTCATTTTATAAATAGTTTATGGTTTTATGTATAATTAATTTTATATTAAAAATTGTATTATTATTCTCTAGTCAAAATCCTTTAAAGTACAGTTTTTCAATCTTTCAAATAAAATAAGGAATTTTATTTCCAGTACACCAATGTCTGATTGATGTTTCATTGATACTTTTTTTAACACTGCATTTCTGTATAGCTCACATGCTGGATAAATAGGATAAAAGTATTTTAGAATTGTATTTATTACTTTCACATAACACAGATCCAGCACCGATGATGTAGGAAAATTAGCTAATGTAATTCTGTAACTGTAAAAATATCAGTATATTGTAAAATCCAGTATATAATTTTATTTTTTTTTTAGAGTATTTATAACCACGTGGTTTTCTTACCTTACATTTACAGTATCTCTCTACATGGTCTTTTGTGGTTTTATTTTCTTATACTTCTTCCCTAAACCAGGACACATTGTTTATGGATGAACCCTCAACTATAGCTGAAGATTGATACACAAGTTATCTCAAATAAAACAGTTTGATGATATACTTTTGGTCATTTTTGTTTCTGATTGAAGCACAATGAAAAGAATGTGTGCAGATATCAAAGGAGAAACACTGAGCAAAACATGCTGTGTGAGAATAGTCAGTTAGGTGATTGTTGTTTTAGAAAATTTTTTTGTACTCTAAAAAATCTCAATTATGTGCAAAATGAATGTAGCAAAAAAGAGCAAAACTTATGATTTGCACAATGAAAAGAATTACAATTATTTATGATAAAAAAATAAATGTTGCTGTTTAATTTATCCTCAGTATCTTTATCAAATAGAGTTACCCTAACATGTCAATTACCATGTAGTAACTAACAATAATTGTTTTGCAGCAAAATTTATAAGAGTGAATTAATTAATAAACTTTTAGTAATTCAAACACAAATTATTTATTGTATTTATTCAGACACTTGGCAAATCTCATCATTAAATTTTATTCAGTTACCATAATAAACTTTTATCAAATAATAAAAATATGATGGTAGACTTTTGACTCGTGAAAACTTTGTATGTTGTCTTAGTTTGGTCTAAAGAATCTGCATCACCACACTCCTGGATTGACATACATAACTTTCAGATTCATTTTGAACCAATTCAGAAGATTGCCATTTGCAAAATAATAACAATAATAATACAATGCTTTTTATAATAGTGGCACTCCTAATTCTTTCTATACTTTATACATGGGAATACAATTCAAACAGTTGTTGAAACATAATTTTCATCAGATTTGAAATCAATATCAATATTAGTAATATCCTACAATGGTGGCATGTCTGTATTTTCAAATTTTCATTTCTTTATGAATTATTCAATATGTAAAAGTCCTCAAAAGATTTTGGTATCAGACTATCACATTTTTATTTTTATGTACAATATAATATAAAAATTAATAAGAAACAACAAATGAAATTGCAGAAAATAATAAATTGATATGATTAAAAAAATTAATTTCCCTTTTGTAGTTTTCTGATAACTGCATTAAATATTCTTCAAACTTATTTTATTCTAAAGAGCGATTTCAGAATATTTTGAAATTTATAAAATGTGTAACTTTATAATAATAATTTTAGTAGATTCATAGCATTTTTAAAATATCATAATATATTAAAATTATTAATTAAAAATAAAATAAAAGCAAATAAGTTTTTTACTAAAACAAATATTTACAGATAAGAAGAATTTAATAGAAGAATTGAAAAATGAAGTGGAAAATTATAAAAAACAAGTACAAAAAGTAAAAAATGAATTACAAGAACTTAAAAACCAAAACAAAAGTGATCCTTTTTCTGATGAGGAATATGCTTCATTTGATTCAGATAATAATTTATCAGATCATTCTTTTTTCATAAATTCTTCAGAAGATAATGATAATTTATCTGATTTATCTGATAATTCTCATGATACCACCACTACTGTTCAAAATGAAAGTGATTCTGAAAGACCATATATGTATAGTTTTGCTAATGTTTTAATGTCTCTTTTTCCCAATAATTCTCAAGATACACGTAACAATGAACAAATTGAAGAAATTAGCAGATACGATATTAACTTAAGAAATATTAACGGTTCGTGGGAAAGAGGTCGAAATAATTCAAATCCAACCGATGAGCAGGTAAATCCTTCGTCTTCAAGTTCTTTGTTTAATGCCAATGCTAATGAATCATATGATATGGTGACAACAGAAATAATTGATAGACATTCAAAGGCAGATCGTGCTGAATTGTCAACACAGAGATCAAGAGATGTGGCATCTACTTCGGAAAATAATCGTGAAACTCCTGATGTTGACAACGAAAGAAATAACTATAGTGAAGATGAAAATCCAAATGAAAGTAGTGATGATATGCTAGTGAATAACAGGAAAAGAATTTTGAAGAGAAAATTCTCTTTACCAGTTCTGTCAGATATATCAGATGATAGTATAAATGAACCACGACGAATGAGAAGAAGAAGAGTTAGACCACTTGTAGAATCTTCTGAAGAGAATATTTTAGAACATGGGGATGAAATATTAGAAATTACAAGACCATCACATTCTCGTGAAACATGCAAAGGTGCAGAACAAAATAAACGTGCTCTAAGTGATTCAAGTATAGTAAATGTTAGGGAAACTAAACATACACAAAGGAAGACCACAGAAAGATGTCAAGCACCTCTGAGTAGAGTTCCGATACCAGTAAATTCAACAGACTCAACAGAAAATGAAGATGAATTACAAGAAACTGAAACAAAACAAGAATCACAATGTTTAAATCAAAATGATGGAAGTAGGACATTATCAAGAATAAGAAGTTGTAATAATCAAAGTGAACATCACAGAACTAGGTCTTCCTTACAAAGAATATTTGATTTTTCAGAAACAAGAAGAGTTCAGGAAGCATTGAGATTGAGATTCTTAGAAAATTATAATTCTTCTAATCAAGTTGAGAATGAAGGAACAAATCCTCCAGAATCAAGTGAATGGAATACATTAAGACTTATTAATAAATATTCAGACGAGAGTGATCCTGACTGGGAACCACCAGAAAGTGAGCCTGAGGACACTGATATCAATAGCAGTGATGCAATCGAATCTGATTCTAGCTATGAAGTACAAATTCCAGAAAGAACCTGGGATCTTCTTGAAAGGTAAGCCAAAAATAATTAGAATACATTTTTATTCTAGGCTTTAGACAATAAATTTGTGATTTGTTTTTGAAACTTATCCTAGTAAGAAAAGTTTGATACATGATATTTTCTTTTATTTTAAAAAGACATATTTGTAGTTTGCAGAATGTTTTGTAAAACTTATGAGTGTAGCAAAAAAGTGAAAGTTTGAGTTTTATGATATATTTTAAGGTGTTTTTTTAAGCTTCATGTATAATTGCTTTTCTTTAAAATAAATTTTGATTTTTTATTTAAAAAAAAACAGCTAGTTTTATATCATAGGTATATAAATTCATATGATTAAATAATTGAATTTTTAAAAATTATATTAAAAATACTATTATTAAAATAATAATTTTTAATAATAATGTATTTATTTCTGAATCGTTTTCTAATTTGAAATATTAAAAAAATATTAAGTTTGAATTTTGAAACAACCATCAGGAAAAATAATTTTAAGTCATTTATTACTTTTTTGCATAAAAATTAAAGACTTGAGATGGAAAGTATATTTAGCTGTAGTAATTTCATTCATAACAATTTTTAATTTTGTTTGTAAAAATGATGATAACAGCAGTTTTTTCTGTTTTCTTTATGAAACAAAAAATACAAGTGTTTCAATAAAAGTGATAGAATCAACAGTTTCAGAATCTATTTTATTTAAAATATTAAGTACCGTTACTGTTAACATTTTTTCAAATTTGTGTACATATTAAAGAATGTTAATTTAATTTAATTTATTAATACAAGGTAAATACCTATCTGTATGGGCAAAACAACAACAATAAAAACAGCATATTATACACAACACACATTGTCAGTGAACTGTCGGCATGACTTACAACTGAAAGAAAATAAAATAAAGCAAGTCGCATTACCTGTAACAGAAAACAAAAATTTGTAATTAGTTAAATTGCTCCAAAATCGCCAACAAAATTCACTGCCAAACACTCAACAATGACAGCCACTTTTACAACACTCTAAATCTCCTGGTAGCTACACAAATAAGAAAATAAAGATATAAAATATTAGCAATAAAATTATATATACAAATGTATTTCTTATGTAACAAACTTGACAAGAATTCTTTTCCAAAATATAAAATCCTTTTGTTTATAAAAACTTTACATTCAGCCATCACATGATAAACATCAAAAGTAACTTCTAGACCACAAATTTCACAATTTTCTATTCTCAGAGAGGTCATATTTTTAAACATGTTATAGTGTATATGCAATACCACTAAAACCATACTAAACTGTTTGCAAAATTTAAGTATGTTGGCATGTCCCAGTCAATTATTAAATTAGAATATTACTTATTAAATTTATACTCTAAAGCTTTATTCTTAAAATCAGTAAAATAATTATCCATCATTCTTACCAACACATCAAATGTGGTTACTTGATTTAACAAAGATAACCATAAGTTTCTAACAGTGCTAACAATTAATTATTCCATGCCAATTTTTGTGAAATAAATATGACTTTGCTTTAACTGTAAACTCACTAACTGGACATTTATTTACCTGTTCATCTTAAGATACTTTTTATTATATTAAATTTTAATGGAACTCTTTGAAATTCTAAATAGATTATATAGGAGGGAATTTATCTCTTTAAGGAATAAAGTCACTTAATGAACTTCAGATGAATGGCATCATCTTTTTCTGTTCAGGAGAATCCCCAAATCACTGAACCATAAAATATTGACGATCGAACAAAAGCTTCAAATACTTTCACCTTATCTGATCATGCTGTTAATCTGCCAGATTTACATATTTGAATAAACTTCTCTATATCTACATTTGCTTTATTAACAATATGATTTAAATGCTTAGAGAATCTGCCATTTGACAGAAAAAACTACCACCAAATATTTATATTCATCTACAAAGCCCAAGTAGTCTGCTGGGGGTCTGGGTATATTCATCTACTACTATGATCAAGTCATGCTTAATATACCACTTTTCTTTTTTAACATGAACCCCTCCAGTACAAAACACCACGACCTTAGACTTGTTAACATTAATACAAAGACATTATTTATGTATAGCCTCTGCAGTAAAATTAATCATTTTTTGTAATCCAATTCGAGAATCTGCCAACTTTGCCAAATCATCTGCATAAGCAAGAATCTTAACATCACAACCTTCCAGATTATATCCTGGTACTTCTAAAGCACATAAATCCTTAACAAAGGCATTAATATACAGATTAAACGGAATTAGGCTTAATACATATTCCTGTTTAACCCCTTTGTGCATAAAAAACAGATTTGCATTTTTTCCATTAATAGTACAGCAAGTCTTTGGATTAGATAATTAACAATTCTAGACAAATCATAAAATATCTCTATCCAGAGAATTAAATGCTGATTACAAATCTATGAAAAAGACAAATATTTTCTCATGTTTTCTCTCAAATTTTTTTGAATACAGGTATACAATACAAAAATATTATCCAAGGTTGAGAAACCAGAACAAAAACAAATCTCAAAAAACCCCATAATTATCCAGCCACAGAACTAATCACCTATATAGAATCTTACAAAATATCTTAGAAATAGTGAGTAATAACAAAATACCTCTATAATTCTCTGGACGATCCTTAGAACTTTTTTTTTCTTTTTTGTTTATTGGAATAATTTTATTTACATGCCAATCTGGTGGAATTTATAGATATTATTAAACAAAGAAACTAAATAATTAAACAGTCCAGAACAATTTTTATAAAATTTTACAGAAATGCCATCCATACCTGGAGCAGTACTATCTTTCATTGATGACACAGCTGACTCTACTTCCAAAGAGGTAAACTCAACATCCAAAATGTTATCTTGCCAGTTATAACACATACTATATAATAAAAGATCTGGCTTGTAACATTCCGAGCCAAATACTTTCACAAAATGTTCTAACCAATCCAGATCTGGCAAGTTCATATGCCTGACTTTAAGGAAAAAATTAACACACTTCCAAAATTGCATACTGTCTCCAGAAGCCAAGTTTTTATTCAATCTCTGCATAAATAATTTCTTCTTTGCTCTGCATAAATTACAAATGACATTCTGCTCCTTAATAAAGTTAGTTACTGCAATTTGATCTCCAAATGTTGCCTGTTTTAAATCAGTAAAAATCTCTTACCAACTGGACCAAAAAAATCAGCTGTCAACTCTGAATAATCCTGAATTCTTGACATTAACTCATTATATTTTGATCTACCACTAAACTGCAGTCACTCTTCCAAAATAACCTGGACTCTACTGATCTTGGCTTTGTTACATTCTTAATTAATTTTTCTTCCTAATTACACTTTAAATTCATCCTAATCAGAAAATGACTACTAGATACTTCATCCAAAACTGCAAAACTTGAAACCAGCAACATAACACCTAATCTGATTAGAGCCAAATCTATAACTGAACTACGTAATGAACTCACATAAGAATAACAGCTTTTAGAGGCAAATGGACCTCTATCGTTCATAATCATATATCTAAAATTTTCACAAAAACTTAAAATTGATATACCTTGCACATTTACTATTGTAAGGAACCAAGTCTGAACGTTATTTTTATTTACTTTTATTTTACTCATTATTCTATTTTTGTTTGGGGCTTATGTTTTGTTAGGACGAAGGTTTCCTCACCATTCACCTTAGTAACTTAAAAATAGAAGAAAAACCAACTCACCGACGAAAGAAAAGCACCGTAGAAAAACTTGCGCACACTTGCGCTTCCCGAGCGGAAAAAAGTAAGTCCGCAACGAGAAAAGGGGGAGACCCCACAAGCACGAATTAGGGACTCGCTAAACCTTAAAGAATAAAAACGTCCCGAAAATTGTGAAAACAAATAATGTAAAAGGTTAGCGAGTATTGTCGGAAAAATAGGCTGCCAGACAAATAGAAAAATATTTATTGTTAGCGAATAAGTATGTAAATGAGGGAGTGATCTCATTCAGAATTGTGACATCACCTCACAGTATAAAAACAGAACGTCAAGTGAAGATGCCTGAGGTGAACTCCTGATAGCAACGAGCTTTGGTGAGCGTCGTAGCAGTGAACGAGAGAGGTGTCCGATAGGATCAAATAGTTCCAAGGCGATTTTGAAGTTATTCGATTTATGGATCGACGATTATAGAAAGTCTTGAGAGTTGAGGAAATAGGTTCCTAGTATATTGAGGTGACGATTAGGATCTTTAATTTATAAGAATTATTGTTTATAAGTTAAGTCTTTGATTTTTGTCGAATTCCAAAGGGGAATAGAATTAAGTTAGAAATAGATTGATTTGAGTTTGTCGGGTTGATTCTTGTTGAATTTCATTGAATAAATTATTGTTTGATTTTTACTAAATACTGTATATAGTTTATTACTAGAAGTTTAATTAAATATTTGATTTTTGTTATTGACAAACTTTGTCATTATTTAATTCGGTGCACGCTTAAAGTCCAGGCCTGGCACACTAACGCGAATCCGCGTAAAGTACCCATTAGGGAACGGCTATTTCCGGTACGCAGTAGTGTCGATAATTGTTGGAAAAGTCGGAAAAATAATATAGTACTTTACACTATAAGATCCTGTCATATTCTCAATAACCAACATTAGTCTAACTCACCCAAAATTTCCAGGGCCAATCCTGTGGGTCATTACCAATACATGCATTAAAATCACTCCTTAGAATAGCATAAGAGGGAAACATTATAACTTTGAACAACCATAATAGTCTTGTTCAAAATATCTTCTCAAATAACAGGTCTTAGATGCAAATACCAAAAGATAACCAATTTGTTACCTAATGTCAATCACCAAATAAAATCTGTTCTGTATCAAAACTCTATAAGTTAACAATTTGTTTCACAAAATCATCTAACCTCCTATATAATGTCCTCGATTAATCTCACAATACCATAGGGCCTGTATATTTTTAAGTGATGAATCAGATGTTTCTTCTTTTTTGGGTGGAGAAACTGTAGTGCTGCTGCTCAATAATTTGGTATAACTAAAAGTGAATCATTTTCTTCTGCTGATGAGTCAGCCATAATTGATTTAACTGCCAACATGATGGCACTAAAGTTGCCATACATGAAGATGCAATTTATCCTATCTGCCATTTAAAATTATCACAATCTACA